TGTCAAATACAATCTTGAATTAAAAAAAAAATCTAGAATAAACAGCTTACCTGGGTAGAGGCATTCTTGGAGTTCAGACACACGCTAGAGACCAGCTTTTGAATAAACTGGCTTGATAAGAGGAGGACCATTTGAGAAACTGGGCTCATTCTCAAATTTATCAGCCAGATTTGAAAGATCTTGGGGGAAGAAAAAAGCATGTTATAGCCATCAAAATCCTTCCATATGAACTTTTAAAACCCAGCACTAAAGAATAACTAAAATGATTAATTTAAAATGTCCCTTTGCAATCCTACTCAAGAAAATGCTGCCTACGTAGTTAAGAACGACAGTATTGCATCAAACCAACGGGATCTTGATGTGCTGTAGAAGAGAGAGGGCTCAAAGCATAGATGGCTTTAGATCAAAGCAAGATCTAGACCCCACGTGGGATGAGGCTGTTGAGACCCCAGTGCACAGGTAAGAGATGCCCGACGTGCCAGTTCAGCACACCAGCACCCTACAGGAACCACCTACGTGTACCACAAGTCTCTTCAGTAGATGCACCTCTCCAAAAGACCTTGCTGCTTTGTTCCCCTCCTATCAACACCACCCTCTCTGTCTTTTGTGTGACTGTGTCCTTTGAAGAGACCAGGTATCCCAGCTCTAAGCGCAGACCAGGGCCACAGGAGAGGTTTCACACAAGGCCAGAGCCGCCGGGCGCGGCCGGGGCTCCACTGGGACAGGAGGTCCCCTTCGGCCAGTATATTCCTTGCTCATGCGGTCACTGCCATGGGCACTCACTCAAGGAAAACTTGTGTTACTGGGAACCTGTAGGAAAGGAGGGTTAGTTTCACCTTATTCAAATCTGCGGTCAGAATAAACTCTCTAGAACCCGCCGTACAGGTCTTGTTGTGGGGTGATGAAAGAAAATGCAGGACATAGCTTTTGAAGGGGAAGGATTTCACAATGAAGTGGGACAACATTTCTTAAAACAAGCAAAGCCTTGCACCCCTGCTCCTTCAAAACAGCCTTTGACAGCCACGGAGCCACACCACGTATGCAAAGTGACGTTTCGGTAGACATCTGAAATGCGTGTGAGCCTCGGAAAGGGGGAGCGGTTTGTAACCTGCTGCATACTGTGCATTGCTCGCTGAGCTGCAGACTTGAAAGGACTTTGCTCAACCTCAAGCTGATCTCCGAAGAGACGACTGACCAGGTTTTACTAGCTACCCTAGTGTTGCTGACTTCATTGCAGGTGTTCTTAGTACTTGATAAGGGGAAGGAGAAGAAAAGTTGCAGGTCAGTTTGACATCACCATTAGAGCTAAAATGATTATTTTACTTTAGTGCTGGCACACAACTTGTGCCAAGATGCTGGATCTACACAGATCAAACCAGGGCATGGAGATTAATCCTCGCTAGTGCATCAAGCACTGGGGCTTTCACTCCATGGAGATCAGCACCAGTAAGGACTTTTTTGTTTTTCAAAATAAACGCCTTTTAGGCACCTAAAGGGGCCAGATTTCCACCAGGACATCACTCCCTTCTAAGCATCTTAACAGACAAAGCCAGCTTCACAAGTTTTCTGCAATTCTCATTAAGAGTAATGGAAGCTCCTGGGCGGTTTTGAATCTTTCCACTTCATTTAGGGGCACATGGGATCCCTAGGAAGGCTTATTCCAGTTGAGAGTGCTTAAAAAAGTCCTGCTGAACCAGTTCAGAGAGTAACGCTTCACAGAACAGTTTGCCGTTGGAGGCCAGTTGCCGTACCGTCACCCCCGGTGCCTGTGACTGTGCCGTGGGCCGAAGCCCCTTTTCTAGGTTTGGTGAGAACACAGAAGAAAAGAAGTTGGTCTTTCCTCCTGGAAGTTTACAAACCAAGGCAAAAATGAAGTTGGCACTAACGTAAATGCAGATTTTACCCGGGTCTGCAGCCGTCATGAGCTCCGTCCATTTCCTGACGCTCGATCTTTCAATCGTGTCACCCGTCACAATCCAGGATTCAGGGTTATCGTGGAAAACAGCGCAGCAAAACGCTTCAACTCGCACAGCGCATACGTAGCCCTGCAAGCGTTCTGCTTTGTCGTAAGCGCTCAGGATGTACGTCTTAAACTGCACGCCAGCCTGAGGGCCGCAGAAGCGATGGATGGGCATTGAGCCCATGGTATCAGCTACTGTTTTTTCTAAAGCTTCTTTCTCCACTTTACTATGGCTTCCAATGACTTTACTGCTGTCATCCACTCCAAAAAATAAATAACCACCCTGACTGGTTGCAAAGGCAGAGGCATAATTTGGAAGGGTTTTTCTAATGTATTCCAAGATATTCTCTGTAGAGAAGCTCTTAAATTCGGTATGTGTTGTCTCTGTGGAATCCAGGACCTCCCCAACCATCAGTCTGTCTCTCTTTAAAAACCTGGCAGCGGCAACTTGGATGTTGCGCTCCTCGGTGTCCAGAGGGGTCTCCTTTGCTCCCCCATCACAATTCAGCAGAGCTTTCTTAGCGCTTGGCCCATCCTCATCACGGCGCTTGGCACAGCTTTCCTTCTCCCTCAGAAATCCAGCAGCATCGCTTCAGGTCATAGGAACAACCGAAGTGAAAGACCAACAGGACAAAGCAGTGCTCAAGCTACAGATAACGCGGCTTTGTGGATGCACTTTTCTGCTCTGGACCTCCCCGGCTCCATGTTTTAACAAAAAGCAGCAAGTGGCTCCGCTGCTGCATCCACGGTGAAGTATTCGCTGGTCTCGGTGTGGTCGATGCACCCCCTGAGGCTCTGCCCTACCTCCAGACCAATGCCGTGCTCCTGGAAGCGGCAATTCCTGTCTTCACTCTCCACCCTCACCACTCCTCCCGAATTCAGCAACGCACGCACTGCTATAGAAAGCTCCTTTCGTTGCCTTTTCTGACTGCGAGAGGTCTTCTTTCTGGATCTCTCTCCTAAAACTCTTTTCTCAGTATCTACCACCACATCGGGATAGTTCGTTTTCAAATTAATCAGCAGCCGCCCTTCTTGTCTGGCCATCCTGATCCTGAAATGGTAAATTATTAAAAACACTTAACGATTATACACGGCAGTGCGACAAAGGAAACCGTACGCCTTCGGCTTAGGCTCGCACGCTAGATTTAATGAACTGGAAAATGGAAATCACTATTTGCAACGCACAAGCAAATCGAAGTCAGACTACTGCAAAGACACCCACAGACGTCATGTTAATTAAGCTAATTTATTGGGCTCTTTTGCATATTGGGCTCTAATCGTTATCTTGAAGCTACGTGCAAGACTACCTCGACCAGGCAGCGGCTGCCCGTTCGCAGGAGCAGATCCTACCGACCCCTCCCCCGGGACGCG